TATATATATATATATATATATATGTATAGATATATATATTTTGAATAATTCTTACATTTGGTATGTTTTTTATATTTAAAAACAATTGTAATATTTTTTCAAAATTTAATATTAAAATATTATATATATTTATATAAATAAAAAATTATATTTTTATATTTTTAAGATTTTTATATTTTTAAAATTTTTATATTTTTTTAATTTTCATATTTTTTAAATTTTTATATATTAAATATTTTTTAAAATATTATTTGTTTAATGTAATTCAGTTATTATATTCTCATTGTTTCTTTAAAAAATTTAATTTATTGTTGCGTACTTTTTTTATATTAACTATGTATTTTAGAATAATAAAAAATAGTCCATATTTTTAATGCCATATTATAAAGAAGCCAAAAATCTTAGGTCCCTAATTAGCCTTGGGCAGTAGTCAATGTATTAATAATGAAGGCTAGATTAGTAAACAGAGCACAAATTTGAATGTAAATAACTCTAGAAAACATAAGATATAATGATATAGTATATATGATATAGTAGGCATTACTATTAAATACCCTAAGCTTGAAGAAACTTTTCCAGAGAGAGCTACGAGCCTAAGGTTCTAAGATTATAGAAATTTCCCTTAGTGAAATATCTATTCGAATCCCAGGCCAGGCCAGCCTAGCCCAGTTCCGTCCCCATCCCGTGCAGTCCAACCCATGGAGCTTTTATAATGTGCGTCAAACTGGGTGATTGGCAATCGAGAACGTTATTTCGTTTTCTGTTTTCTGTTCTTTGCCCACCTCAAACGGAGAAGTGCAAACACATTTCGGCATGGGCTAAGGAACCGCAAGCGCTTTCTGACTCTGGTGTGAAATTCTCATCATGGCCAGATATAGGCATGTATAAATGGTATGGCTCGTATGTATTTTGTGTTTGTGCTGTTTGGCTCGATGTTGTTGTCGACGATGATGATGATGATGATGATGATAATGATGATGATGATGATGTTGGCGGTTTCGTTCGTTTGCTTCGCGTTGCCCGATAAGATAAGGTTTTGTGGTAAAATGGCAACAAAATCGAAAATAGCACCAGTTCAGTTATATGGTAATGCTTACGACCGCATATAGGTATATATATATGCATGTATATATACCCATATAAGGGGAGAAAGAATGGAAACGAATGACTGATGTGGTGGTGCCTGCACGGGTGGCCTAAATGCTCTAGGCCAAATAGTTTCGCTGTGATAACACCACGCAATGGCGAAATGGCAAGCCTGGAATGACTGACATTAGGCGGAAGTTCGATTTGGCCCTGTGGTCAGTTGATTGTGATTTCGAGGCGCGTGAACTTTATCAAAGGTGTTCACTGTAACTGTCTATAAAATCCAACAACAGCAGAGCGCATATTTGCTGCTGTTTGCTGTTGTTGTTCGCCTGTCTGTGTTATCGATTCTGAAACGACAATAAAGTGTTCCCGACAACAATGGCAAACGACAATGCTGTGGAGAGAGACAGAGAGAGAGCAAACACCTCTTGATTACGTGAGTCCGTGAGTAATAAAATTAGAATTTGTATTTGAAATCGCAGAGGAACTATTCAAAAATGCAATTGCAAATGAGCTAGTGGCGCCATCTAGATGTCGCATACATGTCGACGTAATAGAGAAACGAGCGGAGACAATGCAACTTGCATGATTATGTGGCGCCATCTAGATGTCACCACCATATAAAACCACACATTCACATTCACATTTCAATATATGTATGTACATACTTCGGGCAACATTTCCTCCAGATTTTGTCTGAACTCCTCCACAGACTCGTGCTGCTCAATGTTTAATATATCGGCCATATTTCTTTGATATTATTTATTTCGTTGGAACTTTTTTTTTTCTGTATATTCGATTTGAATGTTCTCTTAAATTCTTGCGCTTAGCCACTTAATTTCTGAGCAAAATAAACAAAAACAAAACAGAACAAAAAATTATGCGTGAATTAAGTAAATTGACTGAAGACAAATACACACGCACACGCAGAAACGAAAACAAAAACAAAATGCGCTGCTCAAGGAAAGGAAACAGCGAAAGGCAAAGAGCACGCGCACACACAAACACGCACACACGGACACACGATCGATTTGAGAGCGCGGCACGAGTGCTTGGACGACAGGCGACAGAACTTACAGCACCGTTACGTGCAAAATCAATGAGAGCGCGAGCCGTGAATGCAGCGAGAGCGTTGGAGCTTTGGCACAGGTCGCGAGCGAGAGTGAGAGAGCGAGAGAGCAATCAGGATTTATGGGAAATACACTGGAATTCAAATTGTAATTTACTCTGCGTTCCGGCGTTTTGCTGTGGGCGCCTCTGGACGAGCTGTACTACTAATTGAGCGCCTGACGCAGTGCGCACTATTTATGCCTTTTCTATTATCAGAAGGTAGCAGGCAGCAGGCAGCAGGCAGAGCCAGAACCAACAGGCCCACTCGCTCATTCGCCCACCTCTCCCACAAATCGAACGCGCAGCAGTTTTTTTCTTTCTTTCTTCTCTATCTCTTCTTCTTTCATATTTGATAACGGCTGAGCGAGCAGCCGGCGGCAAATCGATCGCTGGAAAACCAAACCATATTGAAGAGCGTCTGTTTTTATGCCCTGAATCATCCACATATGCATGGATTGCCTCGCTCTTGCGGCACTACTGTATCGTTCGTATTCTGATTATATTTCAGTATGGATATTATTGACAAATAGGGGTTAGTCACATTGCTTATTTTAACGAAACCAAGCAAGCAGCTCCATAAGTTTCTCTTACCATATCGGAGTTAGTCATTGCGCTGAATGTCCCCCTTTTAATTTGCATACTTCAATTCGATTCAGTTTCGATTTAATTAGTCTGACACTTGATTTCATTAAAAAAAAAACCGGAGTCATATGAGCTCACAATTAGCTTTTCTCAATGTGAGTGCGTGTGTGTGTGTGTGTGTGCATTGGTATTTTGGTCATTCGCTCTGATAAGAGACAGCCAATCAGCTCAACCAAGCGAACAAACCAACAACAACAACAACAGTAAGCACTCGTATACCTTGCTCTACATTGAATTCCCAAACGTCAGCTAGCCAATCAGTCAGTCAGTCAGTTAGTCAGTCAGTTAGCCAATCCGTCAATCAGTTAACAAGAATTGTAGCGATATCGATTAAGCATATCAGATTACATTCGATTAGCGCCTGTTGTTGTAATAGAGTTGTCATAACACTCGATCAGTTAAGCTGCACTTGTCCAAGATTCTAACTTGTGTTCGCCAGCCATAAAGCTAATCGAAATTCACTAATTTCGGGTAATCTCTGTCAGATTGTAGACTCTAGTAATCTGAGATTGAAATCCGTTTGAGACAATATGTATGTGAGTATAATAAAAACTTGACTAAAGCAGCAAAGAGTCAACTCCTTGCGCTGTTATTGCCATGTTATTGAACTGTTAGTGTTATATCTTATCTTATCGAGCTGTTATTGTTATAACTGCTCTCCAAAGCTCATCTAAATTGATTCGACCAGAATATAAAAACTTCTTCAACAAGTTTTGCATATTTTGTTCATATGCTTGAGAGCATTCAACGCCTGATCGATTGTTATGTAAATGTCCAAAAGGTCTTTCTCTTTTTTATTTCTTAAACAATATGAATATATTTCAACTTCTTTTGGCGGAAACTGTGGCAACTCTTGTCTCAGTGCCAAAAAAAACCAAAAACCAAAAAAAAAGAACCTTTGGAAAATTGCTTACGCATCGAAATTGTATCTCTGCTCGAATACCTTACGTAAGTCGATGTATTTGAAGTAGGTATGTAAGCGGTCATAACTCAAATGTACTTCAGATATGATGAACTGAACGATTTGAGAGAGCGAGAGAGAGAGAGAGAGCTGTACTCAACTAACATGTCACTTAAACGTAATTGGTTTTTTAATAGCCATGGTATCAGCCAGGGAATTATGTGCCAATTGCCGTTCGCCAACTGTGATGTGTTGTTAAACATAAATTTAAAAGCGTTTGGCCCAAAAAAACTGATAAGAAACTATTTGCCGATAGGGAGTTAGTTAGCTATTAAAACTCTGGCCTGAAAGACAGTCGAGCTCTTTGCTCGTCATGTCCTATAATAAGTATATGATTCCCTTTTGTATGTATGCTTCCTTGAGATATGCTCTGTTTTATTTGATTTCGCCTCGTGATGACGAATCCCAAGATCTCTCCATTCACACAAAGGCCAAGCATTGTTCTAGCTGAAAGTCTTTCAGTTCATGGACTTGCCAGCTGTTTAAATTATTTCTTTTGATGGTCTACTTTTGACGGCGACTGTGCCTTGTGCCTGTGCACTGTGCTCGCACTTTATCATTCTGTTCTGTTCATTGTTCTGCAGCCCTTTCCATTCCATTCAGTTCAGCTGACAGCAGGTTAACATTTCATATGTGAATATACTATATACTATATATACATGTACGTAGTGCTTACAATTGTGTTTAAACAGCTTTCGATTTACGTGCTGTGCTTTCATCAATTGCTCCAATTCATAAATGCGACTCAGTTTCCAAATTATCGATGACATAACGATAACATTTTGAATATATATTTTCCCACATTTGTTATATGATTATGTAATATAGATTATATATGAACATTTTTATACATTTATCAATTGCAAACATGTTTTGCATTTGCATAAATATACTAGGAAAATCAATTAATATAAACCATTGGCACTTGACATTGCTAGTGTTAAGTAACTATCTATTATCAAATGGGAATTCATTGATTGAGGGTGCTGTAAATGTATGCAGTAGATGGAGGAAAGTGTGACAGAGACAGAGACAGAGATAGAGTATATCTATACTTAATTTAAGACGAACAACTGAGTCGATCTAAGCATATTCCAGCTTATGTGTCTTACGAGATTAAAGCCTTCATACTTGGAATCTCATAAGTCAGAAAGGCTAGAGTACTAGACTTAGGACCTATAGCTAAATACCTTGCTTTGAAATACGTAATGAATGTACTAAATCACATTCACATATGAATGAAAGGTAACCAAATCTAGCTCTAGATTTATTGATTATAGTTATATATAATAATGTCATATATTATAAATAGATTTCATTATTATGCTGCGAAATTTGTTAAAGTCTATCTAGAAGAAAATGTTTACAACAATGAAAGTCCGTAAGAGCAGCTCAAGAGAGAGATAGAGGGAAAGAGAGAGAGAGAGAGAGAGTGCGTCTCTGAGACTATGTGTGTGTGTGTGTATGTGAGGATGTGTATGTCTATGCACTATCGTTTATTAAAGAAGCCCAAAATGCTTTAAATAGCAGCGTCCAAGTCTAGTACTCCCAGCACTAGATAACTTCCATGTTTTGCTTCCTCTCAACTAATAACATGTATTAGTGAACTACACTGAACTGTGACAAAAATGAGTCAAACATCTCAAGTGTGTGTCTACATATCTCTCCCCCTAGGTCTCTCTGTAAGCATACGAGTTGGAAAGGTACTTTTTATTTACCTTGAGCTCTGGCAAGTTCAAGTACGTTTCTTGGCCTTTCCACTGTCATTGCCTAGAAGCATTTTCACAGTCAGAGACAGAAGACACACACACACACAAACAGAGAGAGAGAGAGAGAACAGCCAAGAAGGTAAGCCAGGTAAAGAGGTCAGAATGGAACGGCATACGGCCAACACTTAGACACACGCACCGTAATTATGATTCTTTTGACAAAGAGACGACGCGCGAAAGTTTTGTTAATGAACTTTTGCTGTGATTGTCATTTGGAGTCAATTTACGGCAAATGAAGTTCATTAGCGGGCCAAAAGATGCTAAACGCTGTTTACTGTCTTTGCCTCTGCCTCTACCGCTGCCTCTACCGCTGCTGCCTCTACCGCGTTCATTCTCCCTTGGACACTGGCCTTTAGTAGCTTGGTTATTACCTGTTTGAGCGTGCGTTCGGGTCATGTCTAATGACATGTCGCGGCTTTAATGGCTGCCCTCTGTGACGCAAGCAACTCGTTTTTGCTTCCCCCACCCACCAGGAGGGAGCTACCAAATTGCCCTCAATATAGTGCACAGTTATGTATTCACACACACGCAGAGCTCTATCTATGTATGTCTGTATGTATGTATGACTCTCTATGCATTGTATTTATCGCATTTGTACTTTGTTATGGTCTTATTTGCTATTGTTGCTATTTTTCGCTTTCGTTGAACCGGTTTCGTGGCCTGGAACCAGTTCACTAGTCAAATTCCAATTGCTCATGCCAGGCACGAACCTTTGTGGCAGCAGCAGCTAGCGGGGCTTTAACGCTGGCCCAAAACTGCATGCAGCTCCAGCTCCAACTCCAACTCTAACTGAAGCCCGACCTCGACAACAAAGGCGGCATTACATCAGCGCTTGACGTTGATTGAATCGACAACATCGGCAACGGCATCGCTGACTAACTCGAACAGCATTGAAAAACATGTTAATCAACACTGTCACAGTCAGTGTGCGTTGTAGTCGAGTATCTAGCGAACATATCTATGCATGCCACAGAGCATTGCTCATTGCCGTCGATCGTAAATAGTCAAAGGAAATCAATTGAACAAAAACTAATAATGAGCCCAGCCCAGTCCATGATTATGCATATGCCAATGTATTTACAGTTCTTGCCGTCTCAGTCAACTAAATGGCTTTAAGTACAGGGGCGGGGAAAGACTATCATAGAAAGTAGTTGGCACCCGACAAAAGTGAGCTGTTTAATGAGATTTATTCTTTATATATAGCTGGGTATTCATAATAAGCGTGTTATCGATTTATCGATATTTGTTTCATACGAACATCGACAAGTTCCCTTGCATTCGAAGTGCTCAAATCATCCCTCGATTTCAGCCCAGGCCTTAAAGTGGCTCAGTCCATCTATAACTCTATCAAACCCCACAGCCATGTGATGCCGCACTCACAATAGCCACCCCAAGATTTTCACACTTACTAGCACCCATAACTCAAGCGATCTATGATAGACCGACGCTATGCTACGATTGGGGCGTTCAAGAGGGCAGCGGAGGAGTGTTTCGAGCGTGGGAAAAAAACATTTACTCAAGTCTCTAATAGCAAATAGCTGTTGCATAGTAATTTATGGCATAAGGGGGCGTGGTATCCAAAACCTACCAACTATAAAATCTTTGTATACATTACATGGAATTGCACAGAAAATCTTACGTCTCCATCTCTAATAGTATTCAAATTTCATTTGAAAAAGTAAGGCAAATAATTGATTATTATCGATAATAGAAAAAGGGTTTGGGTTATCGACAAATATGATAAACTCGTACGTGCGTTTGGTATATAAGAGTATACGTGTAGAGTTTCAAGTCTTTAGCTTTAGTGGTTTACGAGATCTGGACGCTTATACGACGGACGTATAGGAGGACGTGACTAGATCAACTCAGCTATGTCAGCTGTGGGTTCTGCCACGCCTTCTTCCGTCTGCTATATATAATTAACATATAATGATCATGATTTAGTCATTATCAAACGTAATCGAATGTGTAATAATAATTTGTATATTGATTTATATTTTAATAATAATAATAATTTGTGCAAACGCAAATAGTTGAAACAATAATATTAATAATAATAGTTTACTTTAACATTATAGTAATTTCATTGTTAATAACAATACATATTTTATAATTATATATACATGAAAAAAACTCTCTCTGTAATTTGTTTATTGACAATTTTGTCACCTGCACCAGCGTCCAGAGCGTTGTTGTCAATTCGTGTTGTCGTCTTCATCAACTTTATTATTGTTGTTGTTGTTGCTGATGTTGCTGTTGTTGTTGTTGTTGCTGTTGTTGTTGGTTATCATGGAAGTCAATTGATATTTGTAACACGTACAGCAAATTTGACTCTGCGCGCTTGCCGACTCGAGTCGACTCAACTGAACTCAACTCGCTTGCATGTAATAAATTTTTATGTAGAAATTGGCAATGCGACCAACAAGATAAAGAGTCGAGCATTATGCACACAGAGAGAGAGAGAGAGAGAGAGAGTGAGAGGGAGAGGGAGACATTACTTACTCGACAAGCTAAGTGAATTGTATAATCAGTAGTGACACATATCCGCCGCATAGACAAGCCCAATGACCACTTGCCACTGGCCACGGACTCGACATTTTGTAGGTTTGTATATACATATATTCATACATACATATATAGTTTTTTCATGCCAGGGGCGTGGCCCTTGCCGGCGGCGACTGATTGCAATTTGTTGTGCATGAAACATAATACGGTATGTATGTATGTATATTAGTCACAAGGATAAATGACGACTAAATGACTCAGCCAATTGGGGAAACTACGCGCGAACAGACGGAACTCATAATAGAGTCGAGACTTACGATTTATGTGAGGGTGGACTGGTAGCGAAGGGTAGGGCAGGGAGTGGGGGTGAGCACACACACACACACACACACACACACACCCTGAGGGCGTGTGTTAATTAGTTTAAACGCCGCTTGGCCGCATGACAAATTAACAGTTAGCTGCTGCTGCTGCCAGCCCCAACAAATATTGGTAATGAGGCAGTAAATCGTTCGTTGTCTCTGTTTACATGGCTACGCCTCTGCCGCTGCCGCTGCCCCTGAACCTGACGCCCACGCTGTCCCGCAGCCTCCCTTCGTCTCTCTCTCTCTCTCTCTCTCTCTCTCTCTCTCTCTCGCTCTTTGTGCAAAGTGAAAACTCGCCAGGCAAATAAACTGATCAAAATATATACACATACTTTGGGAATGCAACAACACACGCACACACACTCATACACACATATATGAACGTTGTTATCGTCGCCATAAAGTAACTGGTAATCCGAGTTCAAGGAACTCTGCACGCAAAAAAAAAAAAAAAAAACAAACCAAAAGAAAGCTTAAAAAAAAAAAAACTTTTGCATAAGGACAAACGACAAGTGACAGCTCCAAAAAAGAGAGAAAAAAAAAACAGCCAGACAACGAGACGGACAGAGTTGCCACACAGCTGGCATGCGATGCAATAAACGCATTAAAAATCACTTTCGCTGCGCACAGTGGGGCCAAAGCCGTTATGATCAAACTGAAATCTATTTTGGGAACTCAAAAATCTATATATGCACAAAAATATATACATATATTCGCTACATATAACATTTCAACATATTATATGAAATGCCAATGGATGGATTTACAACTCATATTAGTACTAGGATATTGTATATTTATGTACATACATTTATAAGGAAAAATCATATTTATGAAAATGATATATGATATTCAAATTATCATCGTTTCAAATGCTATTGCAAACATCACAAACTTTCGTTGTACGACATTTAATGCTCATTCGAGCTACTTTTCATTTTGCATTAGTGTCTGGGAATTATTATATTATTATATAACATAAGAGCTTCGGGATTTGAAAAAAAAAAGATAAAGTGTTTAATACAAATTTTTATTGTATAATAGCATAATAAATAAGCATTAATGCATATATTTTATTTAATGATTTCTTTACGCTTATCACGTATTTTACAGTTAACACACGTACACACACACATACACATACACACGGACACAGTGTGCACAGTAAATATGTAAATTTGTTTTCTTTATTTTGTTGCATTTCAAATTCCAATAGCACTGATGTCATATGTCATATGCACATGCATGCACACACACACACACATGTAAGCATATGTATGCATGTATATATGTATGTATGCCTGCATTTATTGTTATCTACATGACAAACACATAGGCGAAATCGTTTGTCTCAATTTGAATGCAACACGAACCACTGTGCTGCTCGTGTTGCACGACTTTTGAATGGCACTGTAAATCGTTTTGCATATGCATTAATAAAACGATGGAACGTCATATGGGCTTTGTCTAAATGTAAAGAATGCTTAAGTGGATGCATAAGTAGCGTTCTCCTTAAATGTGCCCCACCTCTCTCTCTCCCTCTCTCTCTCTATCACACTCGCTAGGCAGTGCCCTTTGCACTTAAAGTGCACTTGATAAAAGCCATGCCACAGCAGCTACGCAAACAACAACAACCGCAATTGTTATTGTTGTTGTTGCTGAGAATGGGCACAGAAGAAAAGAAAATAAAAACAACAACTGCGCAGACCTAATAAACGCTGCTCGATGAATTATGTGCTGCTCGTCTCTATTCAACTTAAGACATGCATGCACAAAGTAAGCGGGCTGATAAACCATAAAAGTACGTAAGCATGTATGCATAAAGCATGCACACACACAAACACATAAACTCTCTCACTCACTCGCTCACTCTATAACAAAATGCAAGACTTTGCAGCAATTACTGCTGACACTCCCACACACACGCACACAAACCGACGCTAAGACAAACAACAGCAAATGCTTTGTGCGCGAGTGTGGCAACTCTGTCTCTGATTGACATAAACAAAAGCAGAGTCAAAAGCAAAGCGGCGGCCACTTAAATGCGGAACAAGTCCCGACCTCGTGCGCTCTCTGTCACTCTTATGTCTGTGTGCCTGCATTAGTCATTCGCCGCAGCAGCAAAAGCTTTGATTAATAAAATCAACAGCAACAACAACAATAACAAAATCCACATTTAAGTGTCAATCAGCGCGAGATCCAGTATAATTTAGCCTGCCACCGCCTACGCTGCACTCATTGTTATTTTAAGCAGCACTCCTCTCTCTCACTGGTTCTCTCGCTCCTCCTCTCTCTCTCTCGCTGTTAGTTTCATTTGTCCTTTTTATCGTTTCGCTTGCCACGCATATTTATAAGTACGCGCGCGAGCGCACTCGTAACAATGCCACATTGTGTTTTGATTACCGCTACGCGCGTGCGCTCCCGCGCCGCTTGCTTAACTGTTAACAAACGCAAATGCATTAAGCGGTGAGTGGGCGGACGAAGACGAAGCAATAGCAATTACAGTTGGCAAATCGAAAAGCTACACCTGAAAGCTATTAAATGTGTGAGACAACTGTGCACGTGTGTATGTCTGTCTTGGTGAGTGTGTATGTGTGTGGGTGTAAATACTCTAAAGAAATTGTACACAATTACTGTTGCCCCTTGAACCAGACAGCGGGGCCAAAGCAAAGTCGCTGCTGATGTACTACAGTGATGGCTCGCTCAGTCAGACAGCTCAACAGCTGCGACTAGGTCAGCGCAATATGTAAATTTATTGGAATCTATGCGATTTTGTACACATACATATGTGTTATTAGTGCTCATTTTTCATAACACTGCATGCAACCTAGCATACACATACATATTCGCCTAGCAGAGTTTATACTGTAGTTGCTCTTCGACTTTGGCTTGCTGTTGTCGCTGAGTCGTAGTTTTTCACGCTCTCCCATCTTTGCCAGAGCCACCGTCTCTGCCTCTCAGTCTTTGTCTATGCCTCCACCGCTGTCTGTGTATGTGTCCATGTGTGTGTGTGTGTTTTTATTTTAAGCTGAAACTGGTTTTTGTTTGCCTTCTTTGCGCTCTGTCGTGTTGTCATACTATGAAAATACTTTAGCCCCTGCATACCCACATACAAACATTGCTCCTATGTGTGCGTATGAGTGTGCATGTGTGTATTATTCAAATGTTATTTTCGCGAAATTCATATGGAATTCCAAGTAAAGTGAAAGAAGCATGCGTTGTTGTCTTGCCCGTTGCCTAGTTTGACGAGGATTAGTCATGTGGGTGTCGAAGGTGGGGGGCAGGCTACCATAGACATTGAACTTGTGCGTCAGCAGGGGCAAACAGCGCATGCGCTGCTGCTGAGCTGCTGCGTTGCTGCGTTGCTGCGTTGATACGCTGCGGCTGTGTCTCTTGATTTTGCACTCTGCCTCTTCTGCATGCACGGCCAGAGCACAAGACATGGCGCGGCCACCACCCAAGAGAACTTGTTTTTCCCCCATGCACTGCGCTGCGCTCCCCCACGCACACACATACTCAAACAGACACACACACATACATTTACATAAGTATATGTATATTTATACATGTGTATAAGTGTATGCATGCGCTGGCTGGCGCATTACCGTTAGTTGTTGTTGATGTCGCTCTCTTCATGGGGGGTTGTTGAAGGCCATTGTCGCTGTCGCCGTCGCTGCCGCTGCTGCTGTTGCTGCTACAGTCGACGCCGACGCCCACATGCACCGGTTAACGGTTTTGCGACGCAGCCTTTAAGTGACTCATGCAATTGAGATACGAATGTAAGCCCAGCCCCAAAAGCCCTTCTACACGGTCGCCCAAAATTTATCATACACTTGCACATATCGATCTAACACAAAAGATGATATGTATGCATGTATATACACATATGCATACATATTAATATTTAATTGGATAGTTGTATATGTAAGTTATGCTAAGCGCCGTTTTGATTCTAAACTCACCTCTGTAAATTTCTCTTTTATCTCGGCCTTTTCATCATTGGATAAAGTTTTTGTAAATTTGTTTAATGTTGCCATTTTGTTGCTGTTGTTGTTGTTGCTGTTGTTGTTGGTGGTGCTGCTGGTTGGTGCTGTTCTCGTTGCTGTTGCTTTTTCTTAATTGTTATATTGGCTATTAGTTAAATAAATTATAGTTAATTTCACTTTATCGCCACAGTCGCGTTGCCTCTGCCACTACCTCGGTCGCTGTCGCAGTCGCTGTTGCTGTTGCTGTCGCCGTTTTGCCGCTCTCTTATTGTTTTTGTTGTGCGAAAAACTGCGTCGCTGCCGTCTTCTTATGTGTTGTTGTGCTGGTGGTGGGTTTGTTTGCCCGCTACAGAAGAAGAAGATGAAGATGGGTTTGGGGGGAGGCAGCAGTGACACTTTCTTTTGGGTGGCGTTGGCGGCGGCGGCGGCTTTTATTTATGGCTGTTATTGTTGTTAATTCTTTTACACGCTACTGCGCTGGATAATTGCTATTTTGCTATTTCGCTATTTATTTTCCAATTTTTGTGTTCTCCTCTTTCTTTCGAGCTATGTTTTGGCACACGATGCACGACTTTTTTGCACTTAACAAAATATATATCTATAGATGTATGTAAGCCCAACAAATCTGGTCCCACTCTCCACTTGTATTTACACGACGCTGAAAGCTCAGCTTATTGCTTATTTTGGTTATTATTCGGCTGCAGCGGGTTTGCCGGCTTTTGTTTGCGTACACTTTCTTATATAGCAATCAATAACAATAACTCGACAACTTTATATATTGCTGGCGGGGCACACCAACCATGCGCAAGAAAGTCTGAATTAAAACTGATATGGCGTTTAGCAGTGTGCCCGCTAATCGCATACAAGAAGATATACATAAAATACTAAAACTTACATTTAAATGTCGCGCACAAAAAAATACCCAACGAAATTTGAAAAGGGGTATAGACTGTTACAATAATTGTACTATTACTGAAACAATTACTGTAAATTGAAAATAGGTTAGTAATAAGACCAAATAACCATTTCTGAAACACTTAATAATATATGATATTAATATTCAGTTACGTACTTAATTTAAAAATTAACATGGGAACAGTTAAGGGCTCTACTGGAAGTTAACATAGTTCTGTTAACGCGAATTTGAGCCGTTAATGTGCGGGTAGAGGTATTAATGATGGGTTGCTTATTAAATTATGGAGTTTAGAAATTTAAAAAGCAGCATGTGAGCAGATTATATCGTAACTGTAAGAATGCTGCTATCACTTAACATTTTTAGAATTTTAAAGTGACGTCTTAATTTAAAAATTGTCGTGGGAACAGACCATGGCGCTATTTGTAGTTAACATAATGCTGTTAGTGCAAATTGCAGCTGACGCGGGAATAAGTCTTGTAGTGTTTCTCGAACACAAACGCTGTATGAAAAACAAGTGGCAACCCTGTTCTGGCGCAAATAACAATATTGTGGTTTAGCTGACAATTTATGTGTGTTTGTGCCAAAATAAAATGCACATTAAACAGGTGGGTAAATCATGACCCCCTGTGCGCCTCTCCTCAACTAATTGACGCTTCTTTCCAGATTATTATACAAGGCTTTAAAAGTTACAAGGACCAGACGGTGGTGGAACCATTCGATAAGCGTCACAACGTCGTCGTCGGACGCAATGGCTCTGGCAAAAGTAATTTCTTCTACGGTGAGTGCTGCATTCATATGCGTATATGTAAATATATAATATTGCTGGTGCCAACGAATTCACAATAGCTATACAATTCGTGCTGAGCGATGAGTTCACCCATCTGCGTCCGGAGCAGCGCCAAGCCTTGCTGCACGAGGGAACAGGCGCTCGGGTCATCTCGGCCTATGTGGAGATTATATTCGACAATTCGGACAATCGTGTGCCGGTAAGTGGAATGCCATAGATTCACTCAAACATCCTTTTCATGTGGTGCTCAACTGTTTGCAGATCGACAAGGAGGAAATTTACTTGAGGCGCGTCATTGGCGCCAAGAAGGATCAGTATTTTTTGAATAAAAAGGTTGTGCCGCGCAATGAGGTCGTCAATCTGCTGGAGTCGGCTGGCTTCTCCAGCTCCAATCCCTACTACATTGTCAAACAGGGCAAGATCAATCAAATGGCCACCGCCGCGGACTCCTATCGATTGAAGCTGCTGCGCGAGGTGGCGGGCACGCGTGTCTATGATGAGCGCAAGGAGGAGTCTCTGAATCTGCTGCGAGAAACCGATGGCAAAGTGGAGAAAATCAGTGAATATCTGAAGACGATCGAGGACAGGCTGCAGACGCTTGAGGAGGAGAAGGAGGAGCTTAAGGAGTACCAGAAATGGGACAAGACACGACGCACTCTCGAGTATATACGCTACGAGACGGAGCTAAAGGACACACGGCGCGCTCTCGAGGAGCTGCAGCTGCAGCGTAAATCCTCGTCGGACAAAAAGAAGAACTACAACATTGAGATACAGAAGGCGCAGGAGAAGATCAAGGAGGTGCAGAAGAATCTGAAGGAGGCCAAGAAGAAGGTGCTCAGCACAAAGGAGGAGCGCTCCGTCCTGATGACCGAACAACAACAATTGCTGCGCGAGAAGACCAAATTGGATCTCACCATTGTTGATCTCAATGACGAGGTGCAGGGCGACAACAAGTCGAAGGAGCGGGCCGATCAGGAGCTCAAGAATCTCAAGGTGACGATAGCGGAGCGTGAGCACGAGCTGGACGATGTGAAGCCCAAGTACGAGGCGATGAAGCGCAAGGAGGAGGATTGCTCGCGCGAGCTGCAGCTGAAGGAGCAGAAGCGCAAGGAGCTCTATGCCAAACAGGGGCGTGGCTCGCAGTTCTCGTCGCGCGAGGATCGCGACAAGTGGATCCACAATGAGCTCAAATCGATCAGCAAACAGACCAAGGATAAAATCAATCATCACGCCAAACTGGTGGAGGACCTCAAGAAAGATGCCACGTCCGAGAAGGATCTGGGCACCAAAATCGAGGAGCACTCCTCCGAGCTGGAACAGCTGCGCCTCCAGATCGACGAGCACAACAAAAAGTACTACGAACTGAAGAAGACCAAGGATCAGTATCAGTCCATGCGCAACGAGCTGTGGCGCAAAGAGACCCAGATGACCCAGCAGCTGCAGACCCAAAAGGAGGAGCTCTCACGTGCAGATCAAGCGCTGCGCAGCATGGCCGGCAAGCCCATCCTCAATGGCTGCGACTCGGTGCGCAAGGTGCTCGACAGCTTCGTGGAACGCGGTGGCCAGTCGGCGGCAATCGCTCGGGCATATTACGGGCCGGTCATTGAGAACTTCAGCTGCGATAAGACGATCTATACGGCCGTCGAGGTGACCGCTGCGAATCGTCTGTTCCATCACATTGTCGAATCGGAATACGAGGGCACACAGATCCTGAAGGAGATGAACAAACTGAAGCTGCCCGGCGAGGTGACGTTCATGCCGCTGAATCGGCTGCAGGTGAAGGTGCACGACTATCCGGACGATCCCGACTCGATTCCGATGATATCGAAGCTCAAGTACGACGAGCAGCACGACAAGGCGCTGCGTTATATATTCGGCAAGACCCTCATCTGCCGTAATCTGGAGCGTGCCACGGAACTGGCCAAGAGCACAGGGCTCGACTGTGTCACACTCGACGGCGACCAGGTGTCGTCGAAGGGTTCGCTCACCGGCGGCTACTTCAATACGTCGCGCTCGCGCCTGGAGATGCAGAAGAAGCGCACGGAGTACACGCAACAGATCGCCGAGTTCGAGAAGAAGCTGAGCAAGCTGCGCAACGAGCTGAAGTCGACGGAGAACAACATCAATTCGATTGTGTCCGAGATGCAGAAGACGGAGACCAAGCAGGGCAAGTCGAAGGATGCCTTCGAGAAGGTGCAGGGCGAGATTCGGCTGATGAAGGAGGAGCTGGTGCGCATCGAGAAGTATCGGGCGCCCAAGGAGCGCTCGCTGGCCCAGTGCAAGGCCTCGCTGGAGGCGATGAACAGCACCAAGGCCAGTTTGGAGGCGGAGCTGAAGCAGGAGCTCATGTCCACGCTCTCCGTGCAGGATCAGCGTGAGATTGATCAGCTGAACGATGACATCCGCCGTCTCAACCAGGAGAACAAGGAGGCCTTCACCCAGCGCATGCAGCTGGAGGTGCGCAAGAATAAGCTGGATAATCTATTGATCAACAATCTATTTAGGCGGCGGGACGAGTTGATACAGGCGCTGCAGGAGATCTCAGTGGAGGATCGCAAGCGCAAGCTGAACAATTGCAAGACGGAGCTGGTGTCCACGGAGAAGCGCATCAAGAAGGTCAACGCTGACCTGGAGGAGATTGAGAAGCGTGTTAACGAGGCCGTGCAATTGCAGAAGGAGCTGCAGCTGGAATTGGAGACCTATGTGCGCAAGGAGAAGGAGGCCGAGGAGAACATCAACAAGGATAGCAAACAACTGGAGAAATGGACCACCAAAGAGAACATGCTCAATCAGAAGATCGACGAGTGCACCGAGAAGATCGCCAGTCTGGGTGCACTGCCTCAGGTGGATGCCGCCTACACACGCCTCTCGCTGAAGAACATCTTCAAGGAGCTGGAGAAGGCCAATCAGCATCTGAAGAAGTACAACCATGTGAACAAGAAGGCGCTCGATCAGTTCCTTAGCTTCTCGGAGCAAAAGGAGAAGCTGTACAGGCGCAAGGAGGAGCTGGATGTGGGCGACCAGAAGATTCACATGCTCATCCATTCGCTGGAGATGCAAAAGGTCGAGGCCATACAGTTCACCTTCCGGCAGGTGGCGCAGAACTTCACCAAGGTGTTCAAGAAGCTGGTGCCCCAAGGCGCCGGATATTTGATACTGAAGACGAAGGACAACGAGGGCGAGGAAATGGAGAAGGAGGTGGCCAATTCGGATGCCTTCACGGGCATCGGCATACGGGTCTCCTTTACGGGCGTCGATGCCGAAATGCGTGAAATGAATCAGCTATCCGGCGGACAGAAATCTCTGGTTGCCCTTGCCCTCATCTTCTCCATACAGAAATGCGATCCGGCGCCCTTCTATCTATTCGATGAGATCGATCAGGTGAGTAGTTGATCCGTTGGCATTTGAATGCTCATGTGCTAATCTCTCTCTCACACACTCTCTCTGTCTCCATTCTTTGACAGGCTCTGGATGCCATGCATCGCAAGGCAGTGGCTGACATGATACACGAGCTGAGCGACACAGCCCAGTTTATTACCACAACATTTAGGCCCGAATTGCTGGAGAATGCCCATAAGTTCTACGGCGTGCGGTTTCGCAACAAGGTCAGTCACATTGATTGCGTGACCCGGGAGCAGGCCAAGGACTTTGTCGAGGATGACAATACACACGCCTAGATGCGTCTGCAGCTTTCCCACCTCCTCTTCCATCTCCCTCTGACACTATCTGTCCCGCTCCCACTTCTCTTCCCACTCTTTCTACATTCAAGCATTTTTTAGTGATTAGGCGTATAGGTTTTATTTCTTTACTTGAATAACTCTTACTACATATAGAAACTTGATTTTAACTGGACTTTCCTTAAAACTATATATTTGTTAAGCCTAAAGATTGTCTATATTGTAGTAAGTCTCGTACTTGATCTGGCCAAGCAAAGTCTCGCGCATTATCTTCGGCTAAATGCTCTGAGGGCTTGCGACCATCATCAATGAATGAGCTTCACAGTATATATTTATGTAATCCTAATAAATTGCAAAAATGCACATGTATTTAGATCAATTGCCGAGTGTTTATTCCACACAGATTGCGAATATAAAAACGTTCGTTTATTAACTAAATATGCATACGAATGAAATGCATATTAACAAGTATATATGTATGTATATAAAAAACATCAACTCTTAATTAATATAAATATGTATCGAGGTGTTGTGCTAAATGCAGCATCAATCCAACATTTGGTTAACACGATTGCCTGGTCCCATCGTCATCCATCCCCGATCCTCGATCCTCTTCATCATCATCATCTCCTGTTCTCGATCATCTCTTGGGCTGCATTAATGGCAAATATGACGGAGAAACACATGCCAACCGTTCCGACCTCCAGGGGCGAAATGTTGTATCTCAATGTTAGCCGCCAGAGCACAAAATGATTGAGCAGCACCAACAGGGCCAGGCCCAGGGACCACCAAAACTCATCGCCGATGGCTATGTGCCACAGGCAGAACACATTCCACAGCACACAGAGAGCGAGATTAAGGCGTTCCAGCCGAGCCAAGACTGTGGCCAGCTTCGACTTCTCGTTGAGGCAGCTGCGCACGCTAACCAGCGCCAAGAGGCTGATGTATAAACTGAATACAATGGGGTGCCAGCTGGAGCTGCCAGCGAAGTTTGGTTGCGGGCCACCAAAGCTCTGGAGTTGGCCGACGATCAGCGTGACAAAGATGACTGGCGAATAGCGTAGTGATAGCTCGCAGATGCGTCGCTGCACCTGGCCAGGATTGGGATGCGTGCAGTGCAGAATGCAGAAGACGCTGTGTGCAAATAATAATCCATATGCGGCTAGCGCGTACCGGCCGATGCTGTAGTGTTTCAGTGCCCAGCCGGAACTGACGGCCAGCACAAAGTTGAGCAGGCCCAGGGACAGCTTGGAAGACAGGGAGCCGATGGCACTGACAGCCATTGCGACATATGCTCAAAACAAACAAACAAACGAAACTACACTTGATTCTGTTATTGCCTTTGACCGAGGTGCCGCCGCCACTTATCGATGATTGACTAAAGTGTCCGATAGTAGTAGACGATATTTAGTGCTGGGTAATTACATGCAGCCGTTGCCGATTCAAATGAGTTTTTCTACTGACAAGTAATGCAAATATATTTATTTGTATCAAGCTATAAATACTTTAAGTGTAACATATTTTAAAATTAATCAATTACTTATATAGTCTTTCACCTTAGGCAAAGTGTAGCAACGAAATCTCTGGTCTGTGGTGAAATAATTGCAATAAGAAATTCAAATAGTTCACTGGCTCACGAACTACTTATCCAACACTGGATCAAGCGGATGCTGCTTGCTTCGACGCCCGCGATAGATTTGTATTTTTATTTGTGATACGTTTTGCATTGCTATTCTTCTGCTGCATTTTTACAGTTACTTAGTTTAAAGAACGTCAACAAAATGGCGGATCCGAATGGATTCAAGCTTTTCAGATCAGTTGATCCGACGACCGTCAACGTGCCGATCAAGGAGAAATTCGCCAAACTGACGCTTTCTTCGAACAAGAAACAACAGTTAGCTCGAAAAACTACGCCGCAACCGAAGCCCCAACTAGAGCAGCAATCAGCTAAAAACAGTAACGTGAGTCGACAATTGCTGGGCGAGCTAAATGATCTAGCTGTTGCCAAATCCTACGAGCATCCACTGCTGCGCAGCGATTCCTCATCGTCCCACACAATGGGGCAGGAGCACACGCCAAAAGCAGACGACGCCAGGTCGCAGCTCGATGTCTCCGACTATATGGAAACGCTCCATATGAGCTGCACACAGCAGACAATCGACGTGGATGTGGAAGCCCTATCCACGCAGGTGACCAATCTGACAATGCAGTCCGAAAAGAGGCTGCCGCAGGAGGAATCCATTTGCATCTCATCGACCACTGCAGAAAGTGACGACGATAGTGCTTCGTGCATTACCATATCAGATAGCAGTGTAAGTGAGCATGGACAGCAGCAAACTGTTGACAAGGAACCGGAGCAGACGAGCATGGCGGTCAGCGAGCAACTGCCTCCAACAGCACCTAACCTATCCAATGCCAAGGTGCAGCGCATAGAAGCCTTTCTGCGTGACGTCTCCTTCGAGCGCCATGAGATTCTACGCCGTGGCTGCACGGACATGTCAGGTGACATCACACGACTGGCCAGTGCTGACACGGAATCCATGAGCATAGGCGACGTGGACTGCACGGAACTGCTGTCTGTGTCCCAGTGGCAGGCCGATAGCAGTAAACGCCTTGCGGACAACGATACGGAGATCGGTCCAACGTGCTCCGAAGAGCAAGTGGATAGCAGCAAACGCCTCGCAGACAACGATACGGAGGTCAACACAGTGTGCTCCGAGGAACAAGTGGATAGCAGCAAACGCCTCGCGGACAACGATACGGAGGTCAACACAGAGCTCAACACCGTATGCTCCGAGGAGGAAGTGAACAGCAGCAAACGCTTGGCGAACAACGATACGGAGGTCAACACAGTGTGCTCCGAGGACAGCAGCAAGCGGCTGGCAAACGATGACACAGAGGTAAACACACCCGACTTGGAGGTGCCGCTATCCGATGTATCTGGCCAACTGTCAACTCTGGATGAAACAATTCCAGAGACCAGCAGTGAGCTGGAGCACTCGCCGGCTAAACCCGCTTCTGCCTCATCGGCAGAGCCACAGGAATCAGAGCATTCGGCCGTCATACAAGTGAGCAGCATTAGTATATCGGCAAGGATCAACATTAAGATACACATACCCACGCTGGACTCGAGCTCGGAAGTGGAGCAGAGCATTATAGATACGACGCCGACGTCAAAGGAGCCCCCCGACCTTTGTCAGCAGAAAGAGCAGAAGGAGCAGGAAATGGAGAATGAGCAAGAGCATGATCGCGAGAAGGAGCAGGAGCAGGAACAGCAGCAAGACCGAGAGTGCTCTGTTCTGGGTAGCGATGCTTCTGAGGATGAGCAATTTCTGACACAAGCTGAAAAGCTGTTGAATCAACTGTATGGCAAATCCTGGCAAACTCCGGACGTCATACGCACACTGAAACGTTCCAGCGGCAGCGGGGGCAAAACTGCGTCCGTTGGAGCGGTAAGGCGTACGCCACTCACCGAGATCAAGCGTCAGCCCAGGCAGCCCAAGGCAGTGACAGCTAAAAAGGCGGCCCAGGCGGCACACCCCAATGACAGTGGCGTGGGTGACTTTAGCATTTGTAAATATATAATAATATATAGATACAGAATATATATCTATTCTGAGAATATTTTCCCGATTCCTCAGTTAGACGGGCTCTAAACTCCAATAAATTCAACTCCACGCAACTGCCCAGGGCCGTCTGCAGCGAGAGGCGTCCAGGCAGGCCACAGGTGCGCACCAAACACATTGACGAGGAACGCTGGCGGGCTCTGATCGATACGGACAGTGGCACGGATGCCTCCGATGACGACGATGCCAATGCCACGGAGAGCAGTGAGACAAGTGATGACGAGGAGGAGGACAACGGTCACGTCACCTACTTGGATCTGACCAAGAAAGAGGTCGAGGTGGTCAGCGATCCGGATGAGCAGGTTACTGGATGTGAGTATATTCTGTACGAGAGAAAAACATTCCTATATTTTGTCCCGCACCACGCAGCATCCAAACAACACAAACGACTTGATGATATTTTGCGGAAGTGTCGGGCCACAGATAAACCGAAGCTACCAGCGACGCCAGCGACCCCAGTGACGCCAATGACAACACCAGCCTCATCGAATCCCACACGCCGGCAGCTATTTACACCCAACACAGGCTACGAGGACAACAGTGAAGCTATCAAAATAGTTGATCAGGCGATCGATCTGAATAGTTTGGAGCAATTGGAGCTTATATATTTACCGGGCACTAACGTGCACAAGCGCATCCAGGAAGTGAAGAAACAGCTCGGGATGGAAGTGGCAACGCCCAAAGCTAAGCCGGTATTTAAGAAGCGGACACCAAAACCCAGTCCACCTCCAATCAGGGCTGGGGTGCCAGTCCAGAAAGAGATCGCATTGAGTAAGCCATGTGGCTTCTTAAAATCGCTGGAGCCGGGTATCCCTCGTGAACTATGTGAGAGTACAGCATATTACTATCGTGAAAACTACATGAAAGTTAAGGATCGCTTGACCAATGTGTTATACAATATGTATAACTCTCAGGTATTCAATGAAGAACTAAAAGTGGAAGTCTCCTGGACGGCCAGGCTGCGTAACACGGCCGGCAATTGCCGCAACAGGACCGAGTAAGTAATGAGAAGATAAATGTGAAGTCAAGAGTCAAATCTCCTATTTTCTTTGCAGCCGGAATGGAGTGCGCAGCAGCAAGATCGAGCTGAGCGACAAGGTGCTCACCAGTGCCGATCGTCTTCGCTCAACTCTAATTCATGAGCTCTGCCATGCCGCTGCTTGGATATTCAACGGGGCCAGCGGACATGGCGCCGTCTGGAAGAGCTGGACAAAGCGTGCCAATGACAAGTTTCCAGATTTGCCACCAATCACTGTATGCCACAATTACCAAATTGACTATAAATACACTTACAAATGCAGTGGTTGCGGCGCCTCGTAAGTAGCCCAGGATTTGATTGCTAGTCGAAGTTTACCTCTACCTCCTCTTGCAGATCAAACGCTCACTCCAAGTCGCGCAAGAAGAACGGTCTTCACTGTCGCTTCTGTCATATTCCAGTTGATATATTTCTAAACAAGAAAAACAAGCTGGGCGTCATTGTACAGACTCCGGTACGCCCGCCATCGGGCTTTGCCAAATACGTTCAGGATAACTTTCAGAGATGCAAACGAAATGCTGTGGGTGGAGATGTGATGCGCATCCTGGCTGCCGAGTATGCAAAAGAGAAGGCCCTTACTAAGCAGTCAGCCATCACCGAGCAAATGTTAAATTTGTCTTTAGTTAGTGATTAGAAATCAATTCGAAAGAGCCAATTATGTTATTGATTAGAAATTATGAATTATGAAAAAATGTAGGATTCATTTAGATTCATATGTATTATATTCAGTTTACAACTGTTTGTATTGTGCAAACGTGTGTATATTTTAGTTCAATATTTTTAACTAAAACCGAGCTCAAATTAGCAACTGCAACCTGATTTGTGTTATCATTTTAAGTGCTGTGCAATTCATTGTGATTTGCGACAGCAGTGGCGATAGACACTTGATGCTATCGATAGCACACACTACCGGCAGCTATGGCTTCAAAATAGAGATTCGTTTTAAGTGTCCTACAGTTTGACGAATTAAAATATACAAAATGAAATGCACATGCCAGAGTGAGCATGTCTTCAATTTTATAGTGACAAGAAAATATGTTACTATTCCACCTTCTCGATTCTGCCGCATATTTAATTGAGCCAGAACTCGGCCGCAGAAAGAGCAGAAGGAGAAGGAAATGGAACAGAAACAGCAGCAAGAACGAGAGTTTTCCGTTCTGGGTAGCTATGCTTCGGAGGATGAGCAATTTCTGACACAAGCTGAAAAGCTGTTGAATCAACTGTGTGGCAAATCCTGGCAAACTCCGGACGTCATACGCACCCTGAAACACTGGCATTGGGCAGATCTAGTGAGCCATGAATTTGAGTTTAGAACTGAGCCGTGGTAGGCTCTCCATATACAGTTTATATTCATTATTTAGTTTTGAGTAGTAACAGTTGTTAGGATATACTAGTTTAAAATTATAGAAAACAAGATTAACACAAAAATCGAATTGTGGGAAGTCGGAGGATACCTAAAAAGACTTCCACGCACAGACCATCGATTTATAGTATACTACAACAGTTTAGTTGCTGTAAGCGGAAAACATTCCTATATATTGTCCCGCATCACTCAGCATCCAAACAACACAAACGACTTGATGATATTTGCGGAAGTATCGGGCCACAGATAAACCGAAGATACCAGCGACGCCAGTGACGACACCATCCTCATCGAACCCCACACGCCGGCAGCTATTTACACCCAGCACAGGCTACGAGGACAACAGTGAAGCTATCAAAATAGTTAATCAGGCGATCGATCTGAATAGTTTGGAGCAATTGGAGCTCATATATTTACCGGGCACTAACGTGCACAAGCGCATCCAGGAAGTGAAGAAACAGTTCGGGATGGGAGTGGCAAAACGCAAAGCTAAGCCGGTAATTCAGAAGCGGACACCAAAATGCACTGCACCTCCAATCAGGGCTCGCCAGGAAAAGATGGCATTGAATGAGCCATGTAGCTTTTTTAAATCGCTGGAGCCGGGTATCCCTCCTGAATTCTGTGAGAGTACAGCGTATTTCTATCGTGAAAACTACATGAAAGTTAAGGAGTGCTTGGCCAAGATGTTATACATTTTGTATAATAAGCAAGTTTTTCATAATAAACTAGATGTGGAAATCACCTGGTCGCCCAGGCTGCAATGCACGGCCGGCCATTGCAAAAATAAGGCCGAGTAAGTATTGAGAAGATAAATGTGAAGCGAATCATAAATGCCCAAGAGTTAAATCTCTTATTTGCTTTGCAGCCGGAATGGAGTGCGCAGCAGTAGGATCGAGCTGAGCGACAAGGTGCTCACCAGTGCCGATCGTCTTCGCTCAATTCTAATTCATGAGCTATGCCATGCCGCTGCATGGATATTCAACGGGGCCGACGGACATGGCGTCGCCTGGAGGGCCTGGGCAGCACGTGCCAATGAAAAGTTTCCAGATTTGCCACCAATCACTGTATGCCACAAATATAAAATTTTCTATAAATACACTTACAAATGCAGATCTTGCCGTGCCACGTAAGTAGCATAGGATTTGATAGCTAGTCGAAGTTTACCTCTCCCTCCTCTTGCAGAACACACGCTCACTCCAAGTCGCGCAAGAGGACCGGTCTAATCTGTCGCTTGTGCAAAAAAAAAATTAAAATATTTCTAAACAGGAAAACCAAGCGAGGCGTCAGGCAGACTCCGGTGCGCCCGCCATTGGGCTTTGCCAAATACTTTCAGGATAACTATCATAAATGCAGACGTAATGCTGTGGGTGGGAACGTGATGCGCATCCTGGCTGTCGAATATGCAAAAGAGAAGGCCCTTGCTGAGCAGTCACCCATCACCAAATACATAAATAAATACTTAAAGTTCTTCTTTAGATAGTGATTCAAATTTAAAAAAAGCTAATTATTGATTAGAAATTATGAACATTCGAATAATCCCAAAATAAGAAAATTAATAAAGTTTAGAATTCATTTAGATGTGTATATGCAGTTTACAGCTGTTTGTATTGATGTACAAACGTGTGTATTTTTTAAATGGCGTCAGTATTTTTAACTAAAATAAACCGAACTCATTTCAAGTGCTGTGCAATTAATCGATTTGCGACAGCAGTGGCGGTAGACACTTGATGCTATCGATAGCACACACTACCGGCTGCTGTGACGTTAAAAAAGAGATTCGTTTTAAGTGTCCTACAGTTTGATGAATTAAGATATACAAAATTAAATGCACACATGCCGGAGTGAGCATGTCTTCAATTTTATAGTGACAAGTAAACACGTTACTATTCCACCTTCTCGATTCTGCCGTATATTCAATCGAATCTGTGCGCTTTGAGCTGCCATCACTAGCACACATACGAACGCAATCGTAAACATTAAGTTGCAGAACCGAACACGTCAGCTACGCGGATGCGGATTGATTAACAGCGATTTGTTTTGATCATTCCAAATCAGTAAATCTACCGCTCGAACTACATACATTACAGCTAGGTATTTTCAGGTATTCATTTGCTGACTCAATTACCGCTGCATCAAAATGGTAAGCCCGCATAGACACGCATACGCACACACACAGACGTACATACGTCTACGTCGGCTGTTTTGCTTATCTCATTTGTGTTTGATTAATCCCAGGTACTCATTGCTGCAGCAGTCTGCACAAAGAATGGCAAAGGTAAGTCACTCAATATGGTTTAATTAAACTGTTTAAATGTCTAACCTCACATATTCACATTCTATAATACACGCAATGCACACGCACATACATACATAGTCATATTGTCACGTCAGTTCGTAGAGATGACGAAGGCGCGCATCGAGGGACTGCTAGCAGCATTCCCCAAGCTGATGACCGCCGGCAAGCAGCACACGTATGTGGAGACAGACTCGGTGCGCTATGTCTATCAGCCGATGGAGAAGCTCTATATGCTGCTCATTACCACAAAGGCCAGCAATATACTGGAGGACTTGGAAACGCTGCGTCTGTTCTCCAAAGTGGTGCGTGAATGCCAATATGCATTAGTAGTTTTAGATTTTCATTTATATGTGCTTTCCACACAGATTCCAGAGTACAGTCACTCGCTGGACGAGAAGGAGATTGTGGAGAATGCATTCAATTTGATATTTGCCTTCGACGAGATTGTCGCCCTTGGCTATAGGGAGAGCGTGAATCTGGCGCAAATCAAGACATTCGTTGAGATGGATTCGCACGAGGAGAAGGTCTACCAGGCCGTGCGTCAGACACAGGAGCGCGAGGCACGCCAGAAGATGCGTGAGAAGGCCAAGGAGCTGCAGCGTCAACGCATGGAGGCCACCAAGCGCGGTGGCCCCTCCATGGGCGGCATGGGCGGACGCAGCGGTGGCTTCAGCGCCGACAGCTTCGGCAGCAGCGGCATCAGCACTGGCGGCGGTGGCAGCGGAAGCGGTGCACCATCCATTGAGATGGAGAACAAGCATATGTCCTCCTCTAGCAAGCCGGCAATGTAAGCTAAAACTGATAGCGATCATTGATATGGGATTAATTTACATGAATATTTTCGCTATCCCTCTCTCCCCATTTCTAACACGCTTGCAGAAAGCCCGTTTCGCGCAATGCGCTCAAATTAGGCGGCAAGTCCAAGGACGTGGACAGCTTTGTTGATCAGCTGAAGAGCGAGGGCGAGAAGATTGCCAACCTGGCGCCAGCTGTGCCTGCGGGCAGTGCTGGTGCAGCGGCCAGCGCCAGTGCAGCGGCAAAGGCTAAAATCTCAGCGGACATTCATACAGAAAGGTAATGATACGAACTGCGTTGTCTCTGTGAACACTTTAATTTAAACTGCATTTCTTTTCCAGTGTCCATCTCAAAATGGAGGATAAGCTGGTGGTGCGTCTTGGTCGTGATGGCGGCGTACAACAGTTCGAGCTTAGCGGCTTGCTAACGCTGCGCATTACCGACGAGAATCTGGGACGGATCAAGGTGAAGCTGGCCAACAATGATACACAGGGCATACAGTTGCAGACGCATCCGAATGTTGACAAGGAGCTATTCAAGACACGCGCCATGATCGGACTCAAGAATCCAGCCAAGCCGTTCCCCCTCAACACCGATGTGGGCGTACTCAAGTGGCGCTTCATTACACAGGACGAATCGGCCATTCCTTTGACCAGTGAGCTCATCCGCTTTCCGCTTCTCTCTCTATTAGTAATTAATTGTCTATATCTATCTGTCTCTCTCTGATCCATTCCATGCAGTTAACTGTTGGCCTTCGGACAACGGAGAAGGCGGCTGCGATGTGAACATTGAATATGAATTGGAGACACAGCATCTGGAGTTGCAGGATGTCGTCATCATTATACCATTGCCGTAAGGAGGATTGCATTAGCCATCCATCCCTCTATCCATCTTAATGGTAATTCTTTCCTATTGCAGCTTGAACGTCCAGCCTTCTGTGGCCGAATACGATGGTACCTACAACTATGATGCTCGCAAGCATGTGCTGCAGTGGCACATTCCCATCATCGATGCTGAGAATAAGTCGGGATCGATGGAATTCAGCTGCAGTGCCTCCATACCGAGCGACTTCTTCCCCTTGCAAGTGTCGTTTGTCTCAAAGACGCCGTATGCGGCAATAAGCGCGCTGGATGTCGTACAGGTTGACACTGATTCCTCTGTCAAGTATTCAAGTGAAACGATTCTATTCGTGGAGAAGTACGAGATCGTTTAAACTATATACACATCCACACACACACACACATATATATATAACACTGAAGAAAGAAACACACACACACACGACATGAAAAGAGAAATACACTATCAGCAGTAGTAGTATATATACATACCTAGTATCAATACATACCCTTATATTTTTGAGCGATTTTTCGCATTATGTACGATTATAAATGTTAAAGATATATTTTGGCCTAAAACACGCATCCAGCCGCAACATGGCTAGCAGTAATTCCAAATGGGCGTGCTCCACAACCATCATCATAGAGTATAATACATAAGGTAAAATACACAAATATTTTATTAAATGCTCGGTATGCAGTTTATAATTTGATTTCGAACCACAAAAATTGTTAAATATATTTAGCATTGTAAACGAGAATTTGATTTAATGCAGTCGCCTGCCTAAAAATTGCAATAAAATATATGTTAATAACAACTCGACTACTTTTTGTTTATTTTGTATTTGAATCTATTGTAGCGCTTAAATTCAAATTGATTTTTAATAAGAGTACACAAGTGCTGCAAGTGGCGCTCACGTATTTTGCAACACTGAAGTCAATCTGTGGCCACCCCCATTTATCGATTGCCAACGATTTCGATAGTCCAGCTCGGAATTAGCATTGTTTTGGTTTATTCTTTGTTTTCGTTTTTACAATTGTTGGTAAATTGAAGTTAAACAAATGGAGCAGCAACTGGAAAAAGTGTTGAGCGAAATGTATGTATTGCGTAATAATCCACCGTCCAAACCAACAATAACTTGCTCCTTGCAGCTTAACACAACAAGACACCGTGGGTGCCTTAGTGGCGAATCGGCAAGGCCTCTGCTTGGGCGGTGAGTGAAGTAAAAAAAGCATTATCAGTATGCATGCAAGAGTGTGCATCTGTGTGGGCATGGCCACATACACATATATGCTTTAATCTGTCGTAAACAAGCCTGTTTTATTTTATATGTATGTTGTTAATTGTTTTTGCCGTTTCCTTCAACTTTTGCACAGCCAAGGGCAACATTAATCCCAACGTCTCTGGCATTGGAATGGCCATATCCGAGCAGGTGGCCAAGCTGGAGCCCAACAGCACTCTTCCGGCAACTGTTTGTCTGTACAGTGGCAATAAGTAAGCAGACATCCGTTAGCCGATTCGCAGACACCCATTTAATTATTGTTTATTTCCCCTTGCAGGCGCTGTGTCATACAAAAGGATGGCGATATAACTGGCATCATTTATAAGCAAACAACACCAGCAACAGCAACAACAGCAGCATCAGCAGCAGCATCGACATCGGCCAGCAATTAGCAATGCTATGCGAGTACATACATACATACATAAATAGCTCGTACCTTTGGCCAAAGTGAGACAAATTTCTTCCAAATGCGCTCGAGTATTGATTGCAGCAATAGCCGGCGACATTCGTAGCCGTTTAGCCTTTAAGAGCTGGCAGAGTGTGTGCACTTTTTGTTGATTTGTTTTAACTGGCGTATATTATTTGTATATTTCCATATCCTACTATTTTCTTTTATTATTTTTTTTATATATCTATATGTAAATGTAACGAATACAATTATGTCGTACTGCATCGTAGCGAGTTAAGCAACAATTGATTATGTGCTCGAAAAACTGAAAAGCTTAATTCAAAACACTTAGGTAGCATTTGTGTATATATAGATTTTGTACGATTAAGCCTGAACAGTGATCAAAGCATAATTACAAATATAATGATGAACATGTTGTATCGCAATAATATTAATAACGTGATATTGCGAAATGTATGGTAAATCCAGTTTTCTAAGTTGCCAAATTCTCTTGTGTTTGCCTCCTGCTATCACAGGAGTAGTATTAGTGTATGGCTGAGAGCTTTCATTGAGTTAAGCTCTTGTAAAAGCTTTTATCCGAGTGAGTTTGCGTCTTCGGCTGCTCGCCTCTCAGTTTTGGCTTGCGTCCTTTAATTTGCACTTCGTTAAGGTGGGAGAGCGAGACAGCGATAGCTGTTGCTGAGTGTAGCCGCGACTGTTGCTATTTAGCTCATTCGCACAGGACTGTTATGATTTCCAGAAGAGAATGAGCAGAAGCGACTAGAAATTGCCATTCACATTGTGAAAGAATGCAAACTGCGAATTTGTTGTTGCGCGCAGTTCAAAATATTTCAAATTATGAATGAAGGTGACCAAACTTTAACTTTAATATCGAAAATTTTAGCAAACCTATGCTAATGGCAACTGTAGTCAAAATATGCATTAGTGAAAGCCATCAGACACTGATCAAAGGCCAACTACAAGCGCCAAAGAGTCTCGAGTTGCTTTTTCGTATTGGCCAAAGCTCGGCACGCCACAAATACATACTTGCAAGTCTTCCAGCTAGCTTACCTACCTGGCTTAGTATAATTATTATTAATACTCACCTATGTGCGCGCCTATCTGCTCGTAATTACTCAATCATAACGGCGCCTGTTCGTGCTGCCTGCGAGCGCCTCGTCTTTGAATTTTCCGGATTGGGCAACATTGAGGAAATGCAGCTACGCCTACATACACTACATCATAAAAAGAGAGAAATAAAAAATATGATATATTGTCGTCATGCAATATGCAACATGCAACAGTCTCATAAGAGACTCCCCAACAAATTGCCGTTAATTTCAGCCCACAAGTTTTTCTGCATTTTCAAAAAAAAAAACCTTTTTTTTTCGTATTAGTTTTTATCTCATTTTTTATAAATATTTTGAAAGTGGTGTGACAAGCTGGCCAACCGCCCATCACACACATTAAACATCGAGTTGATGCACAAATTAAGTTTTACAGGCAATTTTGGCAATATGTTTGAGTGTTTGGAGCTGAATTTTGAGTTGGTGTTTAAGTTGGAGTTTGAGTTGGAGTGGAGTGCGCCCCCAAGGGTGTTTGCGTCGAAGCTAAACAAGTTTCTTTATTGCCAATTGCCACATAGTGCCGACAGCCGTTTAGCGACCACAGCCATGATAAACAGAGAAGAAGAAGAAGAAGAGCTAGAGTAAAATATCATGTGTCAATTCGATGGCATCGCAAGCTGTGCCGAATCGAGAGGGGCTGAAGAAACAATGTATACAACCTATATATTCTTCAAGTCCATGAGCGGGTATTCAAAGTAATCAATGAATAGAAAGAGAAAAAGAGGGGAAGAGAGAGAGAGAGAGAGACAGTAGAGACCAGTAGAAATAAGGCCAGGGATAACGAATGGGAGACAGACAGAGAATGCTGAGATAGGCAGGGTTGAGCATAGTTGATAGCTACGAAAGAGTGAGAATATAAGAGTGAAAGGTAAGAAAGAGAGCGAAAAAATACTAAAAGCAGAGTTGAGAGAGATAGAGCGACAGAAAAAGACGGAGAGACAGAAATACTGGGAAAATGTGAATAAGACCAGAGTTTGAGTATAAGAAAAAGCAGAAATGGGAAGAATGAGATAGAGAAAGAGGAAAAGAGAGTGGAGGAAAAATATTAAAGGGAAGTTAGAAGAGATAGTGAGCGAGAGAGAGAGAGAGAGAGAGCGAAAAACTAAACGACAGACTGATTGAGACAGCGAGATATGATGCTTAGATATAGAATAAAAGAGTATGAGAATAAAATGTAGAAGGAGTCATCTCTTGCGTGGAGAGGAGGTGGATATAGTAAAGTAGGGAAACCGAGAAGGTAGGTAGGTAGAAGGTAGAAAGATAGAGAGATGAAGATTGAGATTGAGATTGAGATTGCGAGAGAGAGAGAAAGAGAAAGAGAAAGAGAGAGAGAGACAGAGACAGAGAGAGAGAGAGAGACAGAGAGAGAAATGGATAAGAAAATAAAGCGTGGTATGAAAGATATATATGTATGTAGGTCTTACAAAAAATCTATATTATTCATTAGGAAGCACTAGAGCATATTTTTTCAGGCTGATCAAAGATGAAAAATATGAAATGCAGCAAAGCAGAATGGAGAGAATTGGAAATGCAAACAGAAGGAAAAGGAAAAGAAACTGCGTTTGGAGCTTAGACTAAAGAGAAAGAGCCAGATGGAAAAACCAGAGCTGTCCTAGGACAGCTCTATAGCTGCTCAAGTTTAGCTAGGCATGTGTGAGTGTATGGAATGGAAAGCAGTTGGACATTATCAGAGCCTTTGATGGAAAATGGCAACAAGGAGATGCTATAAAGGTTCAGCTGAAGAAATCTATGGCCGCCATTCCCGTAGACAGCCGCAGCAGGTGCAGCAGCGCCGTATTGGTATTTGGATGCAGTTGGCGCACTGATCACCTGGAGGCCATTGTGCCTCCGAGCTCAATGGAAACAGATGTAAGGCATGGGCAAATAATCACAAGTGAATGCAATTGTTGGGCGAGGGACAATAGCGGAGTTTGTGTGTTTGTCGAGCACCAATAAAGTACATTGGCAAATATATGTTGATTCATTTGTGCAAATATGTGAGCTTGATGCGAATAAGAGAGAGAGAGAGAGAGAGAGAGAGAGAGAGAGGGAGAGAGGAGAGCGCGTGAAAATGTTCTTTATCAAACAGCAAAGTTTAAACAAGCTTTGTGCGAATTTATTTGCCTGTCTATGTACATAATTATTGAAATATGCAGGTAAGCTACAGTTAAGTGTGTGTGTGTGTGTGTGTGTGTGTGCGTGTGTGTGTGTG